CTTGGACCCATAATTAATTAAATGGGCGTTTCAAGTCAGAGCCCTAACCACTCCTTCAATAAGTAAGTACAGCTCTCTGAAGTAAAACATTCCCCACCTTAGTAAATGCCATCATTAAACAGTGAAACATATGAATCATATTTTGGGAGATCCAAACTGATTTATCAGTTCATTCACTGATAGTGTGTTCATCCAAGTGTTAATTTATCTTCAGTCGCAGTTTGGTTATGACAGGAAACTAGATTGCCTGTGTTAGTCCTGGTAATGATGTTCTCTCAGTTGATCCAACATTCTTTCGAAAGCGTCGATGGATAAAACATGAGTCGTGTGTGGATGTAGTGAACTATTTATTGACTATTTAATAGGAAAGTCGATATTTAGCTGACAAGTTATTTGTCATCCCTTGAACTTGGTATTGTTTTGTGAACTGCCAAACATCTGTAGCGTAGCGTCGAGTTGAGATTATCTATAAACACGGCTACAAAGAAACACGTGCCAAGTAAATCAGAAGGCGAAGGTCGAACGTAACCAAAGAAATCCATAAGATCCCCGAGAAGCCAAATATCAGAAGACAGTTAATGGACCAAATCGAGATATATTCGCTGGCGATCTCGTGGCATCGAAAGGATACCGAGATCGTGCCAGGATACAAGCTTGGTTACAGAACGTAACCGAATTCACGCGAAGTCACAATCAAAAGTGTAAGTAAAAGAATGGAAGCACAAAATAGCTGTCATTAGCACAGTCAAACAAAAGCACATTAAAACAAACACTGGTACGGTTGGTTATAAGAATAATTGTTTTTATTAAACCAGTCGTGTTCTCGTGATGAATGTGAGTCACTACAGGAGCCCCTTGCTAGAAAGGGTTTACACTTTCGATAAGTAGCGGTTTAAACCGTGGGAATGATCGGCTGACGAGCGATTGTAGGACGGAAGAATTGGCGAACAGGAAAGCGATCGTTGATCGTCGAGTTGCCAACGAAGATCTTTTTCGGAGAACGGTACCAGGAGCGATGTGTTGTATTTGTTGCTTGAGTCGGCATGCCACACCAGAGTGGTTTGTATCCAGAATCTGAAGATTGCGTTCGTAGGGGTCCGGACCAGAAACGCTGCAAACGTAGGACGAAACCACGTTGAGCCGATGAACCAGAAGCGACCATAACGACGAAGTGCGAGACCAAGCGTATGCCAAACATTCGAAACCAATATATCGACTGAGTACGTTGACAAGAGCATGGGTGATCATGCCAGCTTTCGCCAAAGTTGACTGAAGTTGACGGTACCAAACAGAGATGGTCGAAGGCGTGGGCTCAGGAAACAAAAAGAAAATCAAAAAAGAGAAGAGTGTAGCATGCGTGTAGCATAGGAATAGTCCTACACCGTATCGGTTGTTAACTGTGCGGCTAGTCGCGAAAGCGTACGGGCAACCGTATTTGGCGACCGGGACGTGAGACGGTAGTCTCGTTTGCGTCGCGTGAGCCTGCAATCTCATCCGAGGTCAGAGGCGGCGTGGTCTGCTGATCTGAACGTGAGACTGTCGTCTCGTCCGTAGACGGTGCAGATGACGCGTGCTGTTGACCGGGACGTGAGAATGAGGTCTCAGGTGTATCTAGCGTGAGATCTGAAGAAGATTTAAGGATCCCGCTAGGTTTGATAGGTCTAGCATTGAATCTCAGGGTGTCAGATAGGACACTGTCATCGACGTGTGCTGGTTTGAGACGATCAATGCTGAAGATCTCGACGCGGCCATGTCGATCAACCTTGAAGGTCTTTTCGTGACGAGCGATCACGTGAAAAGGGCCTTCGTAAGGTTGTTGCCAAGGTTTGCGTACCGAATCTAATCGTATGAAAACATGTGAACAGGTAGATAACTCATGAGGGAGAGCGACCTGTCGATGTTGTATTCGAGTTGACACCGAAGACAGCGTTCGCATAAATGCAGACAGTCGATGGACGTAGTCTGATTTACCGAAATTAGGTCTGCTCCGTGGTGTGAAGAATTCTCCGGGCAGACGCAATGTCGTGCCGTATACAAGTTTAGCGGCGGAACATTGTATATCTGCCTTCAAGCTCGTTCGAATACCTAAGAGGACGAGCGATAAGGTTTCGTACCAGTTGTCGTTCTCGTGTGCTCGTAGAGCACTTTTAAGTTGGTAGTGAAACCGTTCAACTTAACCATTTGGTGCTGGGTGGTAGACGGTAATGCGTGTGCGTATGCATTCCGTACCAAGCAGCCGGGTCAGCGAGGAGAATAGTTATTAGGGGAAAATTTCTCGATTAAAGCGTGGAATTCATCGTCACGCGAATAAAAAGTGACAAGGATTCGGTACACATACATGTGAGTCTATTATATTAATACTATTCTTATCGTTATCCGTCATGTCGGGTATATTATATATCGAAAAATATGAAAATATACGACAGATGTGGATAGATAAATCATTGACTCACCGAATTGGCTTCTTTGGAAGATTTGACCAGAGGTTGAGGCGTGTTCCAGAACTTGGGTCACCAATTGTAGCGTGACGTCGAGTCGCGGTTGACTATGAACACCCCTACAAAGAAACACGTGCCAAGTAAATCAGAAGGCGAAGGTCGAACGTAACCAAAGAAATCCATAAGATCCCCGAGAAGCCAAATATCAGAAGACAGTTAATGGACCAAATCGAGATATATTCGCTGGCGATCTCGTGGCATCGAAAGGATACCGAGATCGTGCCAGGATACAAGCTTGGTTACAGAACGTAACCGAATTCACGCGAAGTCACAATCAAAAGTGTAAGTAAAAGAATGGAAGCACAAAATAGCTGTCATTAGCACAGTCAAACAAAAGCACATTAAAACAAACACTGGTACGGTTGGTTATAAGAATAATTGTTTTTATTAAACCAGTCGTGTTCTCGTGATGAATTTGAGTCACTTCACATCTATTGATTTGCTGTCTGATATAGAAATGATTTTATTCGATGGGTGGTTCGCCTAAAGCTCGGTAACATTCTATTACCTTTACGTAATCAAGGTGATATGCTCCCCAGCAGATGACATTGTTTAGGTTGACAGACCACTCATGACAGGAATCAACCCTTGTCCAGAAATAACCACCTAGCTGAACATTGGATTTCACGATCATTTCAGATATCTTGATCATATGATGATACTGTTATTTCAAATTGTCATATCATTGGCCTTCGTAAATCAATTCCAGTTTTGGTCCGGAAAGAAGAAGAGGCTAGGTGGCCTGTGTTTGTCCTGGCAATGGTAGTTTCTCAGTTGACCCAACAGTCCTTTGAAAATGTCAACGGATGAACCGTTAGTCACCTGTTGATGTAATGAATTCCATTCATTGGTGATTCGATAGAATAGTCCATGTTCAGCAAACAATTAATTGGTTCTAGGCTTGCGAAGTTTGATAGAATATCCTCAATTTGATGTGTCTCATTTTACCGCACCTAAATTATTTGGCATGTTGAAATTCACATGAATTACGTGAGTAAGGTTCACTAAATGATAAGCGTTCACCAAACCTATGCTCATCTCTGTAACCTGCTACGCAACTTCTCAATGAATACATTGGATTGGGATAAATAAGCGATGTGGTAGAATTCATGATATCCTGGTAGTTTACTTCATTCCTTGTCTCGTATTTATTGCACGAAGTTTTAGCAAAGTGAAAGAAACGCTTTGGCATCTGTGTAAGCTCTTTTTCAAGATTTGGTATGTTAATTCTCGCAATCAGTCGATCACGCAGCTTGACATGAAGTCGACTTCCGAAATGGCACTTGGCGGCTTGTTTCTGCAATTCAGAGAAAATTGTCTGATATTTTGGTTGTCTTGACGAATGATTCTATGAAATTTCGCTTTTCATGGCATTCGAAATTATTACATTTTATGTGATTTAGTAGTAGTTACATGAAAGTTGCGTAGGGAAGTGTAGTAGGCTTATCTGTGCATGCCAAAGTTTATCATTTCTGATTAATTTGAGGAAATGGACCATGATTTTATCATCTCCTGGTTATACTCCAGATTTCAAACCTTTCCATGTAATCTGTGCCCGACTGTTCAATCACAGGCTCCATTGTGACTTTGATATGATGATTAGAATTACTCGAATTACAGTACTAGCTACGAATTCCCGAAATAGCTCAATTCAAACCATATAGAATTCTATTAGCATAAACAAAAGTATTATAATGTTTCGAGTTATTTGAATTGTATTATGAACTAGGAATCCCAGAATTAACGCAATCGAATTAAGAAGTAATACACAAACACAAACACATGTACTGTATTTGGAATTAGAAATCGAGCATTCAACAAGTACAAAGGTATTATTAGTTCGTTCAAACACCACAAGTATTTTATTCGGAATTCGTAATAAGCGAGTAACCAAGTACAAAACAATCGTTAGTTCGTACGAATACCACATATATCTTCCTCACGGGCTTGTATAAATTGATTGATTTCCCTCCTCTCGATTCTTGTTGTTTCGGGACGGTCCCAGGTATTTGATAACTAACTGTCTTATGATCAGTCTTCACCTCTAAAAATTATAGATCATTACACATTATAATCCATACATTGGTATGGTACTCAAAAAATAATATTTATGAACCAAACACCATTGGTAGTTTACCAAGAGCAATATATTTGGGATCTTATTGCACACCATTTTATATATGTTTCAATGACAAGACCACATAAATAACTAATAGGCTTTGTTTCGGTCACAGCTCAAATATTTTGGTCAAATCATATCCAGTTTCTACGATTCAGTGAATAAGGCTTCATTCTATAAATTACATGAGCAAACATTAAATCTTCAAAATCCATCTGGAAATTCACAGTGGGAATGTTTCATACTCTGAAGCCATGGAAGAAATTTACAGTAATATTCGGAAATCTAAAAAATATTTTTTCGGATCTATTCGTTAACCTTAATTGATATCACGATTGCGTTTATCTGTGCTATTTCGTTTCACACATGCGACATCATATATCGACCTTTGAACGCGCATAAGTTAAAGAGGTCATCTCTTGTTCTGTAAAGTTGTCGACTTTAGTTCATTTTCTGCATACGAATATATGCCATAGCATATACTCACACAGATGGATCAAGTTCATGAGCCACTTTTAAAACAGTGTATTGCTTCGCTTACTTTGAATAACAATATACTTAAACAGAACCCTTGTGATAATTTTTGCTTGCTAAAGAATGATGCAAGCTCTAACCAACAAGCAGCCAAAACTGTGTCCCTAGTGCTAACACGTCTTACTAATTCAGTCAGCACATACGTTCATGTTCTTCGCTGTAATTTTTGCGATTACTTGACTCTGAATCCTACCTCACTGAAGGAACATTTTCGTTTACGACATCCAACTTCTTTGGGATTTCTCACCTATACTTGTTCCCAATGTTCAAGCATGTCAACGGAACGGTCCCTGATGGAGGAGCACTTGAGAATATATCATAAAATAACCGAAGTAAGTTAGATGATATTCCTTTCTGGTGTTACTTGGAGATTTATTTTGTCCAGGACCTGGTAAACACCACCCTATATTCTATTACTTTTGCTCCTCAAGCTTATTTAGGTATTTTATTACATGACATCGTCAAAATGTTTTGGCTTCCAAGCCGTTTTATTTTATTAGTTATTCATTGGAATCCAAGTCGAGCAATGGACGAATATGGGAATACATTATTTTCGACAAATACACTTAATCTGCAAAGAACACATTATCTCACCTTAATATTCCGTGCTTTGGGTTTTTGCCTAATGCGATACAGTTTGCATCTTTTGAAATTTTTTTACATCAGAAACACTGACGATAATATGTTTCACTTGTGACTCTTCAAAGGTATCTACGGTATTGATAACCTTTTTTTAGTGGTTTTCTAGGCATCAGAAACGGGCATACAACAGTTGTACTAGGTTAAGTGTCTCATTCATTGTTACTAAATCGAGTTAATTGCCATGAATCATTAATCTGGCTTTGTTACACACTATGTAATTCACGTTCTTTCTACTCGGTCAAACATTCTAAATAAAAGCCCTTATCATTACAAGCTACATATCAAGATTAGAAAATCACTTAATCGCTGAATCTGTGAAAACAGGTACATGTAAATTGGTAATTTTGTCCAACCTACAAGTAACTGCAAGATCTTTTGTTAAGCTACGAATTAGAGTAGACTGCTCCTTTTCGGGTGGTAGCACAGTTATACTAAGTGATAATATCGCAGGAACAAGTTCAATAAACATTTTAACCATTTAAATCCACCCAAAGAATAGCTCAGAAGTATTTTTGTTTGCGCCTCGTCCATCGTAGGTGAAGGGACTTCATGTTTTTCATATATTTTAGCCAGTCGGAATTATGCAAGTTTTCTGATTCTAACTAGATTGACTTAGAACTCCAGCGTATCATCACACTGAGTGTAAAACAGTGACACCTGAAACAGCTTTTACCTTTTCAGATATAACCTCATCGTTTAGTTTGCCTCTTCGAAAGGGCGAATTATCAATGATAGACTAATGAGTGTAGTATTTCTCTCATCAAGTACTCTCAAGATTTTTGCTACTAAAAAACGACATTTACAAGAGAAAACCATACATTTTATCGAAATTTAATATCTGTAAGTATAACATTAATTTATCGTGGTTTATATCTACACAAATGGATGTGCATTTACCTCATTCAACCTGAATCAAAGTATGTTCAGTTTGTGGTCTACTTCAGTACCCCAACATTTAGTAATACAAAATTGCCCTGAACTATTGGTCTACTACTGTTCTGGTAGCCGACTCGGTAATTTTATCTCCACGTGCTGATATATTAAATTGGCTTAAACCGATACAAGTGTAGGCCCAGTTCTACGCAGCTTAAGGTTAACTAACCAGAAAACCATATACCTTAACTAAGAAGACATTCATAACCATTAATACTTCATTGCGCAACACCCAATCAAGTACTACTTCAAAAGTCGGAAGAATTTTGAACACTGCTTTTGTTATATTTTATAAACATTCTATAAATTTTGTGCATTACTAACGTCCGTCACCTTTAAGAACATCATGAAACCCCTAATTATTGCTAAAATCCGTTAGAAACGCCCTTATAATGTTAAGCGGTTCAGTGGCTCGCAGTCATTTTACATATGTATTTATAAATACGGGAGTAGATGCAGACGACAGTTAATTTTTCCATATGAGAATTTACTTATAAATGCCACCACAAACCTTTATATACTTAAGTTACTTATAAGACCAATTTTTGTCTCATTAATTTAGCTGTTATAGTTTTTATGACTATAATTACAGGCTTTGCTTGCATGTAACTACTATACTTATACAATTTACTCAAAAATTCATGCTTCTAACTCAATTCCGATTTTCCATGAAGAATTTAGTTGGCAACCTATAAAACTGGCACATCTTTTCGCTTTCGTAGACTTACTCTTAGTAGCTTTTAACTTTCTAAAATCTAACTAATACTAACACATCTAATAAGCATAAATGAAACATGCATTCTAGTGGTTACATATTATTTAGTTCATCCTGACCACATCAATGATCGACATAAGATATATATCTTAGTTGGTGTTTGATCATTCTTATGGTTCCCACATCAAGTTTCATAATTGCGTTTTATCAACTTTTCTCGTGTTTAATTAATATGAATAGGTGTCCACCCCTAGCAGACCAAATAAATGTGCTTCATCTATTGCGTGAAGCGGGTTTAGTTATATTATCAGTTATTGTAATAATTCACGGATCTTTTTTTTTCGTTTTACAGAACCCAGCTGCGAAACTTATTGAAAGGTTTCATACCCCAACAACAACATCTGATGCGCTCGGTTTTAATTGTATCTCACCCTCTACTATGTCTGGAAGCATGCTTCCTCTCAGTTTGACAAATTCCAATGCAGCTATTGCACAAAATAGCCTTGCTCTAAATCTCGTTAATGCAATAGCAGCCTTACAGCATTCCAACAAGACGCATTCGCAACAGGCGACAGTAAGTACTGCCTCCTCATCATGTACCACTTGTACAGTTTCTACTGTTTCCCCAACAAAGAACACAATTATTACTCCCACAGCTGAAAACATAGAAAATGCAGAGCCAGATACTAATTTGGATATGCAGATATTCCAAGAAGGATCCGTCACGGTTGAAGCCCAGACGACTGCTTCAGGAAGCCCAGCATTTGCCATCAGCGGGTCTCGTCGCAGAAAGGCAACTACTCCTGTAAGTATAAAATTACACGTTGCATAACTTTAAACATTTGGACATTCTTTCTTTATGAAAGCCGGAAAGTATTTTTTTTGAAAAACCTTCTTGTCGTCCCTTCAGATATATATAAAAGCCCCAGTTTGCATATTTACAGGCTCATATCAATGGATGTACATTGAAATCCTCCACAGGTCACCAGAAACGACTAATTTCATAAAACATAAAGATTAGGAAATGTTAAAGTATATATGAAATATTTAAGAATGCCACAAAATCTGTTATGTTGCTAACGGTAAAACTTGGAAGCTCGTCCCTTTTGGTTGCAAAACTCAAATTTACAGATGTACCCTGAGGATACGTGAGTTCAAACGTCGAGTTGTCAACGCATAAAAGCGTTCGCGTAGAAATGGTCAGATTTTAACCTTATTTTCAATGAAATCTCCTCCCCACAATGTCGGCCGAAATCAACTATGTTATTTAACTCAACACAGATTGCAATGATTATAAATCATATACAATACAGTACGTAGTCTTCTTGAGTTTATCCTTAGTCAGTTAGTCAGTCAACTGCAACACAGGACCAGGCACATAAATGAATCGGTCCAAGTTACCATACCTCACTAGCACAACAAGATTAACACCAAGTTCATACCAGTTACTTTAGTAATAAAGAAAGATTGCATATAAGGATATAATACAGGAAGAAAAAATGAGTTCGTAGGAACGAAAGGTATAAAGTAATTTTAACCACACGGTTTAAGGGAAGACAAAGAATGTATACACTTACGCCATGTCACCCAGAGTCTCCAAACATTGGTTACGATAGTCACGCGGACCACAACCAAGTAGTCTGCATCTACCAACATGGCTCAGACCAGAAGTTAGTGACTTCGAGCACTGATGCCACGTTTTGATTTGGCCGCCCCTAACCTTCTTCCAACTATCCCGAACACCTGTCAGCATTGCGCGTCATGGTAATCGGTGTTCAGGCATACGTAACACGTGGCCCAACCATCTCAGTCGATGAAGATTCACAACCGCATCAACTGATTTACCATTATTCCTTATTACCCTGTATCTAACCTCACTATTACTTACCCGGTGATCCCGACAGATGTGAGCAATATTTTTAAGACATCTATGATCAAATACTAGTTGCTCACGAGTATCTTCTACTACTAATGGTCACGTTTCGCGGACGTAAAGTAGAACAGAACGAACTGCTGAGCATTATGCTCGTCCCTCAGTTGATAGACAGATATCTCATCTTCGGCAAAAGCCAAACGAGCTTCTCGAATCCGTACAGAGATTTCGTCAGACACCAACCCATTAGGACTGATCAGATTTCCAAGACCAGTGAAGTTTTCGGCGCGTTCGACTTCTTCATTCCCTATCCTTAGTTCAGGTGTTGATGCAGGCCAGCCCTGAAGCAACAACTTGCATTTAGAGGGAGAGAAGCACATTCCAAACATTCTGGCATTGTTGCTTAGTGCTACCAAAAGACTCTGCATTTTATCGGCGTCTTCACCAAACAGGACTATATCATCTGCGTATTCTAAGTCGATAAGTGGACCTCCTGGTAGAAGACCAATCCCCGAAAATTCAGTTGACGAGAGCGTTATTTCTATCAGTAGATATATTGTGAAGCTAAACAAAAATGGAGGTGAACAGCCTTGCCGGGTAGCACCTGAGGTTGCAAAAGCAGATGAAAGTTCGCCATAAGCTCTCATTCGATTAATAGTGTTCAAGTAAAGAGCCTTCACAGGGTTTATGTACTTCTGAGGTACGCCTTTCAATGACAGACACTTCCATAGAACCTCTCAGTCAATAGAGTCAAATGCTGCTTTTAAGTCAAGAAAGACCACCATTGTCAGACTCCAATGAGCATGTGTGTGTTCTAGAACCTGACAAATGGTGAATATGTGCTCGATGCAGCCACGACCAGGTTTGAAGCCAGCCTGATTTTGTCGTGTTTGCAGTTAATGAGTCTTGGTTAGCCGTTCGATAATTATTGAGGTTGGTATTTTAGAAGCCATATGAGTTAAACCAACCCCTCTATGGTTATCACAGGGTGATTTCGACCCCTTCTTATGTATTGAGACAATCAGTGATTGCGACCAGTCACATGGGATTGCGTCCAACTCCCAGATTTTAGCTAAAATGTTAATCAACCTAATCGCTAAAATTGGGCCACGATCCTTAAAGACCTCTGGAGTTAATCCATCCGGACCAGCTTCCCTTCCTCGTTTATCCTAAGACCATTTTTATTCATTTAAATATTTGTACAGTGCTCGATTCCATAAGTGTGTCAGAAATTACGTGAAGCTAACTAGAGATTTTAAGGATCTTGGATTTAAAGTGCCTGATAGTTTATACAGTGCAGTAGATTTTTTTAGCGTACCTAAACAAATTGGTACTGGTATGCCATTGTGCTGTATCTTCATATTTCCTTACGGAAACAAAGTAACGTTGATCTGGAAGTATTCGGCACTGTAAATGGGGAGTCGACAATGAATGTATTGATGGTCCCCCTTACTAAATTGAGCCATATTTGTATACTGTCAATCATTTCGTACTATACAGTAACTTGTGTCGGCGGGTACTTAACAGCAGTTTTGTCTCAGTCTGAAATCCCACAAAAGTACACACCCACAAGTCCCCTCCCTCAGTACCCTTTTATTCCAGCTCTCAGACGAAGATACACTACTATCCAAAGCACAAGGATTATAATCTAGAAGTTTTGAAAAATAAGCTGAGTAACTGGATTTGAGTCATTTCAACATTAAACTAAAAACATATTATATTTAAAATTCATCATACTTTGTTCCGAATGCCACTAAGAACTAGGATATAATAAACATTTACAATAGTATTTTATCACTACAAACGTTGATGAACCATCACAAATTTCCTATAGTTTGTTAAATTTCTTAAACAGTGAGCACTAAATTTCAAACCATTAATTCAATAATACCATCTCTATAGATTTAATAGTTGAGATTGTTGTATATTATGTTGACGAAATTCATTAAAAATGTCGATAAACCATTTTGTCATACTTTTTTTTTAAAAATTTATTTTAATACTTTCTCAATTATAATATAAAATATCTTTGAATTTATCAAATCTTTGAAACTATTCAATAGAATATTATCCATCATAGATTATTTATTCTCATTTGTTTACGTAATCATAAATGTGTAAACAGAACTGATTAATCAGTAAAAATTCACTTTCATATTAGCCTTATAAATGAAACATTTTAGTAGACAGGTGTATAAAATTGACTAAGTAAGTCGATCGAATTATTTGTATGTTCCATTGTATGTATGTATGTATGTGCATATTCACTTTATTTCTATTCATACTCTATTTTTGGTCAAAACATTTTTTTTTTCACTTACATATACATATCACACCTGTCCCTATTTTGAGTTGATCAAATTCTGGTCTCAAAAATTCTAATGTGTCCATCATTAGCATATTATGGTAGAATGTTTTAGTATATTTGTGTTAGTTATTCTTACTCATGTAGTGTTTACTCACTATGACTATATATATACATATATAAATGAAATGCATACTTCCCTTCGTTATACATGTATATACATGTGTATATATGTCAGCTAGCTGGTTAGTTAGTTAGTTGGTTAAAAATTGGTCAAATGAATGAGTAGATCACTTGTCTTAGGTAATCTCTGTCATGGTTAGTATTAGTGATGTTGATGGTGGTAGGTTAGTCGTTGTTATTGTTGTTTTACTAGTGGTGATTGAAAGTGTAGGTGAATTTGTTGAATATTCAAAAAGTTTATTCTATCACTATTTTTTGTAGGTATGTGTGAATGAATTTATCATATTAACAATATTGATTAGGTTTTATACATGTATAATGGGATCAAATGAATTTTCTCAAGTTGAAAATCATTTAGATTTATTATTGATAATGATAATAATGACGATTTGATGAAGTTGGATAAATTTTGTTATTTTAATCCAGCTGAGTTCATATGTGTGTTAATTGACATAGATGTTATTATCCTTTCGATTATTATTCTCTTAGACCGCATGTATACATTCACAAACGATAATCCATTATGATGTCATTCAAGGGAATATCCTGTTTGTTTTTTTCATATTTCTTAAAATTCATAAGAGTTTAATTTAACTAGTCATCTTATCACTGTAACCTACTAGGGTAGTTTAAAATCCAAGATTAGAATTTGTTTTATTCTGGTGACTATTTGGCCTTATAACGACATTTAATATAAAGAATTGATAATGCTAGAGTTAGCTTCACTAACATTTTTTCGTAAAGACGGTTTTCTTAAAAGATTGATATTAGCTAGAAAGCCAATGAATATCGGGGAATATTATTAAACAGGTGTTTTTGTTTTTAAACCTCTCAGAAGTAATTACTACACAAGACTGAACTCAAGACATTCAGATATTGGGGTGAGCAAGTCACATTCAGACCAATGAATTTGGATCCAGTTATTCAAATCTTAAATTACTGTCATTGTGTGATGTGGTGATCATTTAGTGTTATTAATAAAGTATTGTTGATCTCCATCAGTCACGAATTCTCACTAGAACTTAAAGTCAGTTACTGATAAGCTTATTACACTGTTTATTTTATCTAACAACTGATCGATGAAACCTTTAAATTATTTAAACTTAAATCGTTCCCTCCAAAAATAACAGCAAAAATCTTACTAAATTTACTTCAAATAGTAAATTTGCATCTTTTGTAAAATATCCATGACAAAATATAGAAGAAATATTGTTGAATATATTTTAAAAAATTGTACTCAAATAATAATTGTATATTTTATTTTGGTTGAATATATCATCTTTCATGGTCCATTCGGAAAGTCATTTCAGTTTTATTGACTGATGAAGCAGAATTAATTATTCATTACAAAAGCGTTTTCCATAATAATCTAATTTTGGTTAGGAATATAAAGGCAATAATTTGTCCTAACAGTTTGTCAACAAGAATTATGACTGTTGACTAG